TTATCGAGGAGAAGGAATTGGAAGGTCCCTTGGAGTATTAGCGGCACCACTTTGATGTGGATGATGTGTGTGTGTATGTGTCGTAACGTTGTAGACAAAGGGGGAGAGTTTAATTCTTGTAAAATGGTAAGGGTCACAAAAACGATACGATACTGCTAATAATGATGAAAGGAAAAGAAAAGGAATCAACCAAACTGTTTGAGCGTAATGAAAAAACTGGTCATAAAAAGCTCCCTGGACAACACTCAATACAGCTTATATACGGAAAAAGTGGGAGTGGTTTTTCTCCAAATATTTCAACAGATGTGATTTAAAACAAAGATCTAAGACATGAGTGATGATTGCATGGATAGATAATTTTTTATACTTTGGTCTTTCGCGAAATTGGAATTCGCGACAACCTATTGTAAATATGTTACATTCATTATTATAGACATAAGTTATACTCACTTATTATATTCATTTATTTATTACCTGTTATTATTGGAAATATAAGTTATTATTATAGATATAATTTACCTATTATATATAAGTTATATTACCTATTATAGATATATATATAAGTTATATTACATATAAGTTATATTACCTATTATAGATATAAGTTATATTCATTATTATAAGTTACATTCACCTATTGTATTCATTTATTTATTACTGTTATTACCTATTATAGATGTATGGATAATTCATGATTCTTCTAACAACTGTGTAATATATGTTTAACACTTATCAAATTATGCATCGTTCTTTATCACAAATAAAATCTAAAATTTGGCGTTATTATGATAATTAATGAAAAATTCTGATTATGCTTAAATTCCTGATCTAAATCGTTATCTGAAATATTATTCTATGTATTGCTGTAGCAAAATTTACAAAATTTTTTTTTAATTATTACATTTACCTAAATAAAATTAGTTGTGTTAAATATAGGCTTGAAAATTAACAATACTTAAATTTATACATCTTTAATGAATGCAAGTAAATTATTAAGATTAACTGTACGGTATAAATTAAAACAAACATTATTCAAAAATTAAATAATGAAAAAATTTCTGCACCAATAACTTTTGAAACATTTACTTATTCATTAGTTTATAAATGGCAAATGAATGATCAGTTATGTGAAATGAAATTTGTAACTCAGAAAATGATGAATGATTAATCTGCAAATCATTTCATTTATTACATACAGTAATAATGACTAATCCTGGCAGGTAAATGTTAATTATCAATTCATTCACTGCATTTAATGCTTAAAGTTATCAATAACTTAATATTGGCTATCAAATTATTCTATTCATTGCTTAAATTATCAGTCAATTGAGGCAGTTATCAAATGATAACTGATCCAGACAGATGAATGTTAACTATTAAATTATTTCATTTACTGCTTAAAGTAATTAGTTACTTCATGTGATGATAATTGATCCAGACAAAAATAAATTGAAAAATGAACAAGAAAAAAAACTAAAAACAATGAAAAATTACAAATGAATTATGAAGGTATTTAATGATTAAAGAATTTAAAAAATGTTATGTTTTATCAAAAAATATTATGATTATTTTTCACTAATACTGATCAATACTGTTTCGACTATATCATAAAGCTAATTAATCTATGCAAAATTACTCATCACTTTAGCTTCCATCTTTTCTAGCAAACATTACCTAATTATCCACATAACCTTTACATATTTTTACCCATTTTCATGCCTCCAAAAAGTCAGGCAGTTTATAAAGTAAACAAAATTAACATTAGATTCTTATTTTTTAATCCCCTTACTTTCTTTTTCTTTTGTACTTTTTTCTTTTTTGCTTCTTTTTTCCACTTTTATTTATTTTTTACTTTTTTCACTTTTTCGTTTTTTCGTTTTGTTTGAATTATTTCTTACGCTTTTTTAATTTTCGTTTTTTTTAAATTTTTGTTAACAAAATGAGTAATAAGAATTTTAAAAAATGGTAAAAAAATCGTCCTATAACCTGAAATATGAATATAAAGATAATGCCGTTTCTTCATTTCATTCAATTCGACCTTGAAGATTTCCGTCGAAGATATGTCGAAGATTTTCGCCGTCTTGCGGAAGAATGGCCTATTTTCTCCTTGAACCTCCGCTCTTTCTGATACGATTATTGCTGCTTCCGGATATTTTGGCATTGGAACTCATTCTACCATTATCACCTCTTCCTTAACTTCATCATCCATTTGGAGATCGTTGAACCTATAGATCTCCTTCTTCATGATATAATCCCCTGTAGACGCTATTTTGTCACTCTGAAGTCTAGATGAGTCATACTTTAATATCTATCTACCACCTCTAACAGCTAAATATATATGCTAAAAATCACTTGTCGTGCATTCTTCTTTGCAACATATGGAACATACGTATATCACATTATGAAATTTGTCATTATTCATCCTGATAAGTTTAAGGGAATCTCAGGAAATCTCTTCGTGGTAATGATCCGCTAAAATGCTTACAATCTTTTTGATAATTCCCGTTTGATAAAAAATTATCACAAAAGATTTCAGATATTTAATTAACTAGAAAAACAAGTAGTAACAAGAAGTTCAATTTTATGTGCATACAAAGTTTGTCTCAACTCTAATGTTTTGCTCGACATAATCTTGTTGAAATTGCAGTAAGTTTAACTATCATCAATAACGATGATTCATGTATTGAAGTTGGCATGAATGTTATTATATCTGTAATTAAGTAATTAATTCGCTGAAAACTTGAAAATGTTGAAAACATGTTGAAAATGTGAAAATGATTTCCGTTACGTAAAAGATTCACTTCGTATACTATCCCAATAATTAATATTTCAATAAATGAGTATATTATTATTGGAAAAAATGAAATTTCAAATTGATACCTATTCTCTATAATACTTCAATAAATCAATTTTTTAAAATTTTCATCAGCAGAAAAAATTGCAAAAATGCTTGCTTTCAAAATTAATGTAAATAAACTAATTAGGCTAAGTTGCACTGAAATTATAAGTTAAATTTGAATTTAAAGACCTTATATTGTTTAATGATAGGAAAGATACGATCAATTTACACTAAGGAAAGAAAAAAAAGGTTTTAAAGAGATATTTTCATTCATGTCTTTAAAGTCCTCTAAAAAAATAATTTAATTCATCGAGGTAATTGCGCTTTTCTTGCCGGATTATTTATGCATGTGCATGTTGCCATGGTGAACTATTCATGTTTTTTTTATCTCTAGGTAACCATTACCTTTCATAGACAAATAGGTGGTAATTATTGGAAAAATGTATGGAAGGTAACCATAGATGATACTATACCTACTTATAGTTTATTCAATAGTTTGCTTATAACTATCGAGTTAAGTAAGTAAGGTTTTCAAAGCTTGCACTAGTCTTATCATTAAAAATTACTCCTGAATGATATGTATATCAGTATACTTCGGAAAAAGTTACGAAATTCACGACCATTCCGAGAATGTTAAGAGCTTAACTTGGATTATGACAGGCGAAGAATATATATCATTATATCAATATATCATCGATAAGAATAAATCTTTTGATTTTTCCATCTATCACTGATATGAATAAGTCTTTCGATCTCTATCTACTGGCATGACAGTATTTGTAAAAAATAATTCTTGTCATCTAAGTATTCGATGAAATATCTTGCTACATATAGGATTCAAATGTGACAATGAATTCAAAACTTCAAATACCATCGATTGCTATTTGGCAAGATCGTGATATACGATTCGATGTAAATCCACGGTATAATGCTTGCTTAACTGATAATTATTATTTGATTAATGTAATCTTATTTCCCTTCTCATTAAGCAAAAACACTCATTTGATAATTAGAATAATGAAAGTATAAAGTAAATAATAGTCCCATTATCAATGATCTTATTGTTTCGACAAATAATATACAGGAAAAAAAAATTGCAGATTGCTACATTTGATTGCCGGTGAAAATCTCGTAGATCGTATTGATGACGTTGAAGATACCAAAGGAAATTGTGGTGATAAGGGTGTCCTTCGGATAACAAATTTAAGACTTACATGGCATGCAATTGCTATACCACGTATTAATTTAAGCCTCGGGTATTTTCTCAAGTTTTGATATGTTCATTATTACCCATCACTGCATCAGTTTCTCTTCTTTTATGTAAATTTTTAAATTAGTGACAAAAATTTGCCTAAATTAAACTTTTTTTAACTTGATCAACTAAACTTTAGGAAACACTCAATTTTCTGTTACAATATGGAATATTTAAGCTTGATAATATGTCACATGTTAGCATATATCCTATATTGGTTAATCTTTTTAGCTACAATACGATCAGTGGAGTGACCACAAAAATGACAAAGTCAAGACTTCGTGGACAAGCTGAATCGCTTTATTTGTTAGCTCATCATGCAAACGCTCGATATGAATTCATTTTTACATGCATCAATCCATCTCAGGTTATTCGCTAAATTAATCATTTTTCAAAGAAATAAGTAAATAAACAAATAAACAAATAAATAAATAAAGAAAGAAGGTTGAAATAATAATTTCTCATTATCTTTAATTAATTGATCTTTTCCTTCTGATTTGTTCTTTGTTGACTATACCTTTTGACTGTCATTAGCAAAAAATAACGACATTCATATCCTAGACAAAACTCTTTACGACAGTAATAGCTATTCATCGAGCATATGAAACATCAAAACTTTATCGTGAGATAAAAATGCGTGGTGCACTCGTTAATGATGAACAACATCTTCGAATTCTACCTGAAGAACAACAATGTGACCGTTATGATGGTGTATGGAATTTAGGTAATGACCAGGTATTCATTTATTTATAAGTTTATTGTCTAAGCAATGAATAATAATTCATTAAACAATATCAATTCATTTAATAACATCGCTATTGGTTTTTTTTCTACCTTAGTGTTTTAATTTAGCCTAATATTTAAAAATTCAGAAGAAAATGAATTGGAATATATTACTTATCGTTTTTTGGAAAATATACAAAAGTATTTAGAAAACATACAAAATATAAAAAAGAAAATGCAAAAGTATTTGTATTAATATACAAAAGATAAAAAATATATTCAATTATTTTTTAATGTTTATTTTTCTTGTTATGTTAGTTGAAAGAAATTGTTTATTTCTTAAAATAATTTACAAAATTTTGGTTTGAAATTTCAATAATATTTATTTTCAAAAGAAAAAAAGGTTAAAAAAAGAGGTAATTTCAGGGAACTCTTGGTGTTATGATACTTACAAATATTCGTATCGTTTGGTTTGCAACAACAAACATAAGGTACAATGTGAGTATACCATATTTGCAACTTCAAAATTGTCGCATACGTCATTCACGTTTTGGTCTTGCTTTGGTTATTGAAACTTCAGCAGTTGTAAGTTGAAAGAATTTTTGTTTTATTTACAAGAAAAAAATAATTTGTTCAAATTATTTTCTTTCAGATTTATCCTAACACAAATTTACTTTAATTCTAATTTCGTCACTTTTATTGTTTACCATAAACAATGAGTGATATTTTTTACAGTATTTTTCAGATGGAGTATTCTCACTTTCTTTATCATGCCTAAATAAATTATCTGAAAAGTATTTTAGATGTTAATGATTATTGTAAATGATATTGTCATTAATTTTATTATCAAATCAATTCGTAAATTACAATTCATCTACAGAATAGGGAATATGTCCTTGGTTTTCGCATTGATCCGGAAGAACGACTTAAAAATGCTCACAGAACAATATGTGCGCTTCAAAGTGCTTACATAACAAAACCAATTTTTGGCGTGCAATATATTCGAGAAAAACCGGTGTGATTATTTGTTTATCTTTCTGTCAATTCAAGTCTAATTTTTACCAGTGGTTCTCAATCTTTTTTTCGTCAGAGATCACTTTGGCTTTTTTCTTTTATAGTAAGGATCATAAAGTTTAAAAATAATTGTATTTTATTAATTTGATAACCAGCATTAATTAAAACTCTTAACATATCAGTTTATCAAACATTGATAAGAAAAGCTCCTCACCTATTTTCTATTGACCGCGCACTATTGCCCTTAACGGATCATATTTTAGTTTTTGCGGATCAGCGGTTAAGGATCACTGATTTAAACATATAACAAATTTCAAATATTCAAAAAGTTCAAACTTGTAAAGGTGAACTTTAAACCTGCTATATTCGTAGATGAGAAGTTCAAACTTGCAAACTTGAACTTTGAACCTGCTATATTTGAGGATGAGGAGTTCGGTGTTGTAAAGTTCGGACTTCTAAGACTTATAATTTATAGTGTTTAAACTTGTAAAGAAAAAAAAGTTTGCAGGGTACTCCTCAGGCGGTAGGAGATATAATGAAGCTAGTAGACGAAGATGTAGAGCTTGATGATCGACCCCTACGATCCGATGCATATGCTGTACGATTTTCATCTATTTCAATTTAGCTAGTTAAATTTTTGAAACTAGTTAGATTTTTTCTTTTTTTTTGGTATCAAATGTCAACAACAAAATCACGTTTGTAGGTTTATTTCTCGGATGGTGTTGTTAGTGGACAAGTTCGGCCACCAGTTTACTCACCAGAACTTGGAGTAGCTATCGAACAACTCAAGCCTGGATTTACTCTTACTGATTTGTGGAATATTCATGTAGAATAAACTCTTCTTTCTCAATTGCTACCATAATTCACTTTGAATTTCAAATTTTAAGCGATTTTAAAGTTTTAAGGTGCAAGCTAATCTTGATGATTTTAAATATTTGTTTTGAATTCATATTAAAGAACTACATGATGATATTTTATTTGAATAGTTCTTATAATTGCATCAAGAAATAGTTAAATAATGTTTAAAAAAAATGTAAAAAAGAATTGCAGTTGAAATACTTGATTGATTTTTAAGTAACTAATTCTTGATTAATTCTTAAGCAATTAGTTCTTAATTGATTCGCAGACAATAAGTACATCAATAGTTATATCTATTCCTTTCAAGACCAATAATGATTACATGTATTGAAAGCGCAAACAGTAAGTGCATATTTCGTTTTACATTTTATGGATTTTATCTTTTTCTTTACTGACTAAATATTCAATCAACTGTCATTTATCGGGAAAACCGAAGGAAATTGTAATATGTCCAAAAGCTAAAGAATTTGTTGTAAAAACACTTCTGTTGTCTAAGGTCAATCGGTAAATATTTTTCCTTTGTTAAAGGTCAATTTGTTGTCTAAGGTCAATCGGTAAATATTTTTCCTTTGTTAAAGGTCAATTTGTTGTCTAAGGTCAATCGGTAAAAATATCTTTTCCTTTGATGTTGAGATGATTTATGACGATTTTCTCTTCTTACAGAGAAATCTATTATGTGTTAACATCTCTTGTATCAGTGAAGTTATTGTCGGCTTTGTAAGAACCTTAAATGGAGCTATTATCTTATCTTAAGCCCAACCCACTTAGGAGCAATATAAAAACCCCCAATAACATGATTATTTAAAATATAACCCTTCTCTGTCGAAGACCACACTCAACTCCTCCTTCGTCTCGTACGACTCGACTTTTGACTGATGATTTAAATAAACTGTAACTATCAATTCTCTTAATTTCACTGCCAAATAACATTGTTATTGTAATTATTATCCTTTTACTACTGAATAAACTTTTTTTCTTGATATTCAATACATACAAACGAAAATTTTCCCGACATCATTAAATCGCATTCATTATTTGTCTGAAGAATTTTATTTATGAATTTTATTTTGTTATTTGAACTTTATTTTGAAGAAATTTATGAATTTTATTTTGTTAACTTCTCATAACCTGAAAATTAAAAATGGCTTAACCTGGAAATATAAATCGGTTTAACCTCAAAACAAAAATTAATACACATGGAAATACGCGTAGATAGTACGGTGTCTATCAGCAATTAACGAGATCAAATCGAATACAATTAATTAATCGATTACTTTGAATGATATCTTTTTCTTTAATAAAACATCATAATTTAGATAAAATTTGTTTGATCTTTGTTGAATTATTTGTTTTGAGAAGCAAATAACTGAATCAAAATTTATTCAAGTTTACATAAACTTGAAAAAATGAAAATGCCAAATAATTTAGTAGAAGAAAGAAAGTGGTTATACTTAAAAGTTGTACTTAATCAAATTACTCTTATCAAGGCTGCAAATAACATACTGCCTTGTTAATATACAATTATTTAATGGATGAATTCCATAATTCTGGATAATATTTGTCGCGAATTTCGATTCGCGAGACTCCAACCATACCCCAAACAAACAAATAAATAAATTTCTTGCCATAAATAAATGTTAATAGTGTAAATCATTTAACCAATTTATATTCTTTAAAATTATCTCCTATATGTTTATTTTGTTATCTTTGTCTAACGGAAAATCCACATCTTTATTTGAATGACAAAGAATGTCTAATTTGCATGCTAATCTTCCCTCTGTTCTTGTTACAGTGCTTATCATGTAATTGGACCTTTATAGTTTCCTCTGTATCTAAATGAATACCCCCTTTTTTAACGTTTATTTTTTATTGTAAACCACTCCCACTCTCTAATGCATATAAACCCTATTGTAAAGCGGCTAATGCATTATTTTCAGTAAAGACTTTACACAATCCGGTGTGGACTCAATACAGCTCACTTCAATTCCACTCAACGCAACTCAGCCTGACCCAACTCAACTCAGCCTCTCGCAACCCAAATCAACGCAACTCAGTCTGACCCAACCCAACTCAACCCAATACAACACAACACAACCCAATTCAAAGCAGCCCAACGGATCTTAGGAAGCCGATCGACAACACTGGTGATATTTAGCCGACATCATACTCCACGATTCAGAAAAACCCACCACAATATTTTCAAATTCTGCATTGTTGTATTTTTTTTTCAGCCAACGACATATTTCAGGAAATGGAATTCGAACTCATTCACACCCAAAATTTCCCGAAGATTATTTCGAGAAGCAATTAAGAAAAAAAAGCAGAACTTAATAAACTTCTTTTCAAAAAAAAACAGAATTTAAAGACA